CTTATGTCTTGACCTAGTTCCTGTCAATGTGCAAGTTGATTAATTGAAGTTGCCCCATTTGATAGACAATAAGAGATCTAAAATGCTGTATGAAAACATAGTGTAAACAGAATTTAGATACTTTCTCTAGACTGGTCTTGAAAAGAACCACATTCTTCCAAAGTTCATCATCTACTGGACTCTGACAGGGATTGTAATGTCAGTATTATTGATCAAACATACATATGACATGTGTTCAAATAAGCTAAGAATCATAATTTGCAGTGGTAATCCTATGTCATGCAAAATGAAATAATATGTAAAGACTAGTTTTCTAAACATTGCTCATTATAAATAACTTTTAAATGTAATGATTTACTTTGTCTTGTTTTTCTTCTTTTTCTTCTTTAGTGTTCCAAGCCCTTGAGGTTCATTGCTGCAGATATCACCTGCCTCCACTCATCTCTCTGGTTGGCCTTCTCTTTCAAGTTTGTAACACTAAGTGTTTGCAGATCTCTCTGGACATTACCTCTCTATCATCTTCTTGGTCTGCCTCGTGGTCTACGGTCATTCATCTTCCTTGTGTATACAGTTTTTTTACCACTCTCTCATCTGACATTCTCTCAGTATGCCCCAGCCATTTCAACGTATTAGCTCTCATAATGCCAATGATCAGTGGTGATTTAAACAGATCATTAATTTCGTTTTTGCTTCTCACTCTCCATTTCCTGCTGTTAACATCTTAGATGGTCTAAAGATTTGTCATTATACTCTATTTTGAAAACCTGTATTAAGCCTTTCTCTTTTTAGTTGTGCTCCAGGTTTCAGAGGCATAAAAAACGACTGGTCTTATCAACGTTTTATTTATTTTGATCTTGGTGTTGGGAGATAGAGACTTTGACTTTAGCAGATGTTGAAGGGCATAGTATACTTCATATCCAGATTGTATTCTAGATTAAATTTCTTCTCTCAGCATGCTGGAGCAGTTGAAGCTTGCACCCAAGTACTTAAATGTTTCAGTTTGTTTGATTTTTATATTATCGACTTCTATGTGGCCAGAGCTTATAACCTTTCCCTGTCTTGTTTTTAATATCTATTCTGTTTTATCTTGATTGATAACTAGTCCCATTTTATTAGCTGCTTGTTTTAAGAGAGTCAATATTTTTACAGTCTCTAGTTCATTTTCTCCAACAATATCAATGTCGTCTGCATAACCAAGTATTCTTGTAGTTTCTTTAACACTTCTGTTTCAATTTTCTTTTAATTTTCTCCAGGACCAAGTTGAAAAAAATGTGAGGAAAGAGCATCACCTTGCTTTAAACCAGACTTTATTTGAAAAGGTCCAATTTTCTGCTTTTATATGTTACTATATTATAAGTATCTTCCATACATAGTTTGATCAAGGTGATTAACTTCTTTGGTTAATCCTTCATAGCGTTCCATAAACTGTTTCTATGTACATTATCATAAACTTTTTTTAAATCCTCAAAAACATTATGTGTCTCTTCCGTATTCCCAATTTTGCTCTGGTGTTTGAGGTAAAATGAATTTCTGATTGATTGTTGATCTGTTCTGTCTGAAGCCAGCTTGGTAATCTCCCAATATGTCTTTGATGTATGGTTTTAGTCTGTTTAACAATTCTGCAGATAGTATCTTATAGCTTGTAGATAATAGTGATCATTTTCCTATTTATACTTGTCTTCCTTTTTAAAAATGGGTATCAATAAAGACACTTTCCATTCATGGTGTAATTTCTCCGCCTTCCAAATTAGTTTTATTAATTCAAATATCTTTACATGTAATGCATGACCACCTTCTTTTATAAGTTCAGATGCAATTCCATCACCACCAGTTGCTTTATTGTTTTTAGGCCGTGTTATGACATATAGCCCTTCTTCAAAATCAGGCTCTTCAATATTTGGTTCACAAGTTAGTATCTCTTTTGTGGGTAAGTATTAAGTGGAGTTTCACAGTTTAACAATTAAGTAAAGTATTCCTTTCATTTATTACATATTTCTTCATTATTATTTATCATGTTGTCATTGTGATCTTTCAAACTAAATATGCTGTGTTGATGCCCTTGTTTTACAGCCTTGAGTTTTAAAAAAAAAAAAACCTTTCTGGAGTAATTTTTATGATGGTTGGCTTTCATATCTATGACAATGTTGTTCATGTATTCTTGCTTTTGCTGCCTAATTACTTTTGTAGCTTTTTTACATTCTGTTCTATAGTTTTCTTCATTTCATTTGTTACTAATATCATTAAGCCATATCTGCCTGGCATGTTTTTTCTTACTGACTGCTTCTTCACATTTTGTATCGAACAATTTGTTTTTTCTGTTTATGGTGGACACACTAAGACATTCTTCTGCAGTGGTTTGAATTATATTCTTAATATCCATCCAGGTTTGGTCAACATCTTTCTGTGATCGATTTTGAAAATTTAAATTTCATGTTTTAATTCATCTGCAAATTTCTCTGATATGGATGTTTCTTGCAATCTTTCCCTGTTGTGCTCTGGATGCGTTCTTTGCAACTTGGTGAAAAAGGATCTTTTGAGCTTGATTTTTAATTGTGTACCAACCAGATAGAGGTCACTATGACACTCAGCTCCTCTATAGCTTCTAACTTGTTGTATGTTCGATGCGTTTCTATTATTTATTAAAATATGATCTATTTGATTATATGTTAACTAGTCACATGATTGCCAAGTGTGTTTAAGTATATCTTTTCTTGGAAATCTGGTGCTGCTTATCTGTAGTCCTTTGGCTACAGCAAGGTTGAGCAATTTCCATCCAATATCGTTTGAATTTGTATGTAGGCTTTTCTTGCCTGCTGCAGTTTTACAGATGTTTTCTCTTTCTATTATTGCATTGCAATCTACTAAGACAATCAGTATGTCTCATTTTTGAGTTTTTTCTATGATATTCTCTTGGAGATCACAGAAATCTTCTTTAATCTCATCTTCTTTATCTTCAGTGGGTGCATGCACATTAATCATCATGATTTTTTTCTCCATTTTTCTTTTATTTGTAATTGACTGATTCTATCACTAATAGCTTCAATATTTATAATACTTTCCCACAACTTTTTCTTGATGACAAATCCTGTCCCTAGTTCATGTTTATTTTTAGCGTTTCCTCCATACACTATGATTATTCCATTTTCCTCTACAAAACCCCGTCCTGGTCATCTTATTGTATGAATTTTGCTGTTAAATCCATGTCATATCCTAGTAATTCACAGGTCAGTTCTTCAGCTGCTCCAGCTCTATAAAGGGTTCTTACATTTCATGTTCCAAATCTCAAAAGTCCTTTAACATTCCAGTTTTGTTGTCTGTTTAAATCCATCTGAAATAGAGGCTTAGAAATCTGTTTCGTAACAAGATGATGTACTTTCTTGTTTTGTAAACATTGAATAATAATTATCTTTTATTTCATTCTTCACACCCATTTTGTCTACAATTGTTTCTTTCAGACTGCAATTATAATTGTGTCATTTTCTGCGCACCAGAATATTTATATTTCGGCATCCAACTGTAACACCCTCCATATGTTCAATGTTTCTAAAATAAAGTTGAAAGCTCTAGTGATCACACATCCTATACTTTAATGTTTTCATATTTTATGAAATTACCTGATCAATCAGTTTACTGTTTTAAATAATATATATTCAGTGTATATACTGACTTTTAATACTAAGCCTTAAGAAAGACAAGATAACAGAAAAACTCGAGTGATGAGAAATAATTAGAAAATAAAAAATGTAAAAGTCTTTACAGAGGCTCCCCACGCACGCACACACACTCACTCACATATATACTCACACACACTCAGGCACACACTCACTCACACACACACTCATGCACACACTCACACACACACACATGCACACACATTCGCATGCACACACACACACATACACAATGAGAAATATTGTGAGACATAAAAAGGGTTCACATGGTACTGACTACCTTACACGTCAAGTTCTGATTAGTTTGCAAAACATGACACTTTCACTGCAAGGAATAGCGAACTTTACTTTCACCTTGTGTGGGTTCCAGGACCTGATTCTGGAGAGAGGAAGGGTATAGGAGGGGGTCGGTTTAGCCTTCATTTCAGTGACACAGGACAAAGCAAACAACCTATCACCCCTGGGAAACCTGTGCTTGCATTTGATCCCTGATAAAACATTCCTGAGCACTGCTCATCTATCATACAGATAAGTCATTCATTTAATTTGGATTTTAAGAAGGTACAATAGAAACCAGATCAGACGAGATAATACAATTTAATTTGGATTTTAAGAAGGTACAATAGAAACCAGATCAGACAAGATAATAAAAACAGATACAAGTGTAACTACTAGCAAACATAATACATTTTCACATATAATAAGGGTGTTTGTAAAGTGTCACGACACTTTGTATGTAGTACAAATGTGAAAAATTAAGTACATGTCATCAAAAAATGTGATCTGCAGTCAATCACAAAGCAATATGCAGTGAATGGCTGTTGTCTCCTAAAGTAATTCTTTGGACTCAAAACAGAATAGTGTTATCAATGGAAGCAATCAGAATTCTCTTCTTTTCTGCCTTTCTATCCCCCAATGGAGCATAGGCCCTCAACAAACTCCCACCAAGTCGTTCTATCCTTCACTTTTAAATGGCCCTCCATGTCCTCCCCATCTTTTTAATTTCATTCTCCAGTTTTCTTCTCCATGTGTTTTTTGGCCTTCCATAATTCCTATGCCCCTGTGGAACCAAAATCAGAATTACCATTCAAGAAATAATAACAAGACATGTTACAGAAGGTATTTGACACTATGAAGAGACGTGTGCAGTCATGTCTCGAAGCCCGAGGTGGACATTTCCAAGGCCTGTTATATTATATATATATATTTTTTTAAATATTTTCAATGATGTCATGTACTTGGGTTTTTCATATTTATTCTGCATAAAAAGTGTAGTAAGACTTTACACAAACCCTAAACAAATGCAGGCTATGAACAGTCTGAACTTACATTTGCTCTCCCTTCTCCACTGTCAACTGCTTCACTGACAGCAGCTTCCAACATAAGCTGTTTTTCAATGGCAGCCTGCTTTGCCTGCTCTAGATCCCTCTGACATAAACAAGTTCAATGAAAAGGTTATTCTTAGATCTCAATGAACTATATTTATTTAGTAACATAAAATTTGTGCAAGGAATTTCAGTCTAAGACAAACTAAAAGACAAAAATTGCATAATAATGTAGGAAACAGTTAAAGAAACTAAGAAGGTTGTAAGTGACAGAGAAATATCAATGAAATCAGATACAGACAGACACCAGGTCTGACATGATGGTATAAGCTGAAATGTGTTCAACTCTGCATTCTGTGCACTATCAATTTTAGGCATGCTAATAAGGGGCATCGTTGTGCTTTAAATGGCTGTATCTCTTTTGTCCCAGGCAACTCACCGTGCGTTTGGAAGTTTCCCTTTACAAGATATACTTCTCTGAAATCTCGAATCTTCAGGGAAAGGACCAAGATGAAAATGGTAATTTTGACCACTTTGGGTTTCCAAAAATAATTCAATTATTCTTAGTAGGAAAGCTGTGCAAATGGGGTTTAAAAAGAATGCATTTTGAAGGTCTATTTCTGCATTCTTTGAAGCAGGTGTAGCTTATTTATCTATATTTTTATGATCATTACATATGCATAAACTTTGAAAAATCATATCTCAATTTGTGACTGACATAGAGACTTCAGTTGCAAATTGTTCCATTTTGTGAGGCCCGTACAACCAATTTCATGGGACACAAAATAAAAATAACAATTTTCATTGATCCATTGATTAAGGATATGCTTTATTCAGTCAATCAGTGCACTCATCTCATACACAACTTTCAAGCCTGTTTTCTCAAAATAACATTTTTTTTATATGTGCAAGATAATTATAAAACTATTAGGCCTAATAAAACATGATCTTCAGTGGGATTCTGTTGAAATATACCATTTTCAAGGGTCCCACACTTATGGTCAACATGCAACTTGAGTTATGACAGTTTTAGAATATCTTGGACCTCAATATGAGAAAATCTTACTTAGATACAGAATTTAGAGAGGTTCAGATTATTGCTTAACTTCAAGCTGCTTACATCAAATACTTTTTTAGCAGGATTAACATAGCATACCAACTAATTTACGCAAATTTACACACCACCGACATATGTACCCTCATAACTGAAAATAAGTATAACATTAACACATATAACTTTATTTCTCTGTGATTTACTGTTTAAATGATAGATAAGAAAGGCCATGTAAAATTTCATAAAGATCTGACCATAATTAGATATCTTAAATCTTTAGCAAAAATGTGCATAATTTATGATTTTCAAGCTTATTTCCTCACCTTTTTTCAATTTATACATGTCAGTTAGATCCAAATTTGTACTTGAATTAATTTGGCCCAATAATTTTATGCTGCAATCCCTTTGGATACAGACATGTCTTTGCTCAAGTAACAACTATTTGAGATATAATGTGTTGGAGTAATGACTGCCTGCGACTGAAAGAGTAGTAGAAGTCAGGATTTGATTCAAAGCACTGGGTTTTATCCCTGATGGCTCAGCTCTCTCTCTCTCTCTCTCTCTCTCTCTCTCTCTCTCTCTCTCTCTCTCTCTCTCTCTCTCTCTCTCTCTCTCTCTCTCTCTAAAAAGCTGTAAAATATTGCACAAAGAACTACAAAGAACAAAAAAGCTGTAAAATGTTGCACAAAAAACCAACTGTAGCTCCAATTAGACCCTGTCTGCACAGACAAATTCAAAGACTGAGTTAACAATTAAACCCACAACATTCAAAACACATGGCAAATGACTAAATAACTCCACCACAGAGGACAGCCCCCACCTCCCCCACCCACATGGCTGTGTGGAACAAGTTAGGTATTAAACTTGGATTTCTTAAAACAAATCAACAACAGTCATTGCTACCCATAAAGCAATGAATCAAAAACTTTTTCTCACAATATTTAATGGCAAAAGTGAAACTAAGGATGATGACCATGTCATGAGGCATCCAGAAGTAGAGAAAAGAAGAAGACGAATAAACATATAATGTTATGCCAATTCTCAAACAAATTAGGTTATGCCGGTGTGTTGGGAAATGAGCAGGCAAATATTCTGGCCGGTTCTGCACCACTTAGTGGTGAACTAATGTATGACAAGCTAGATGTTGTGAGGGCCCTCTGGGAGTGAGTGAACAGTCCAGAAGTGCAAACAGATCACTACAGCCTGAGGCACTGTGAGGAGTTGCCAGGGGATCTGGCCGATGCTCAACACTCAAGAGAAAGGTCAACACTCAAGAGAAAGGTCAACACTCAAGAGAAAGGTGAGACGGATATACAGTCAGTTACTGGTGCCATCGGAATTGGAACTCTTTGTTTGCTGCAGAAGATGGGGATGGAGTGTTCAAGGGAGTCTCCTGAGTGCTATGATGTTGATTCTTAATTCAACATTCAAACAAATGATGAACAAACGAACGAACAAACTTTATTTTTAAAGGGTTACAATTGGGCACGCAGGCCTGTCTGACATTCGGCCCTTCTAAGCACTCATCTTTCAGAGTACCAATACCAATATCAAAGTAAGACTGCCATTTTGATAACTTATACATCTTAACAATTGACATAACTTATATTTGCTTTTGGAAGCACAAAGAAGAATCTCAACCATTTAAATATATACCTGCAGAGCTAACAAATCAGCAAGCAATTGTTGTGCTGCAATGGAATCTTCACTCGACAGACTGTCACACTGAAGTATGAGTTCAGATAACTTCTGCATCTGTTTACTGATCTGTTCTTGAATATCCTAAATATAGACAGACAGACAGACTTTTAAATTTTAATCATAGGGCTACCACTATTCAAAAATCATCTCACAATTAACTCTTTGAGTCCCAAGGAACGCTTTATGTACTAATTGGTTACTACCACGCAGCCAATCGTCACGAGGCGAGCTCATAATTTTAATTTACCAATGGTCAGTATAACACTGCAGACCGGTAGTTCTGAATGGTATTTCCAGTTCACTGTGTTTGAAGAAACACTTGTTGACCATTTGGGATTTTCGAAAATGTTGCTAGAAGCATAAAATGTAGTAGGTTTGTGAGCTTTACTGAGTTTCTTCTGTGTGAAAACAATATGGCCTCGAAGAAGACTTCTTTATGCATGCCAACAAGATTTATGACTTTACAAGCCTTATATTTAAATAAAGCATGTGTTCATCAGATTTATCAAAAGCTAAAAAAAAGTTACAAAGTAGACTTGTCTCAGTCATTGATAGTGTTGAACTTTGATGAGGGATAGTTCTGATATATATACCTCACCCAAAGCCCACTACAATAACAAAGTCAACTTTTACAGAGAGAAAAAATATTAGTGAAAAAGGCGATATTCTTCAGTGTCAGGTCTAGTGCATTTTTTTTAGTGTTATATAGTTTTTTTGGGTGTGAAAATACTAATTGTTTTTAGAGGTTATTTTTGTTTAGCAGAAAATGGTGAATGGTGCTTTGTTATGATGTTCTAAAAGTTTCTCCGGAACAAGATCTAATGGACACATTGTGTTTATGTTTGAATTATACATTACTAAGTAGTGCATGTTGATTTGTGATTCATTATGGATATATTTTATCGTTCGTGCGGCGTACGATGTATTACCGTCCGGTGTTAACATGGTTAAATGGTCTGCGACTAACGATCCGACTTGCCCGTTGTGTAAATCGAAGCAGACTCTAGAACACGTCCTGTCCGCGTGCAGGAAAGCCCTAGGTCAAGGCCGATATACCTGGCGACACAACAAGGTGCTAAAAGAGTTAGCAGCCGTTGTTGACCAGGCTAGAATGAGGGCCAACGCAAGGGCCAGTTCTAGCATCGTCCCCATTCGTTTCCTCAAGGCTGGGCAGGTTCCAAAAGGTAAGGTCAACCAAAACGCATTTGCTCCATCTGTGCTAGACTCTGCGAGGGACTGGTTACTGGCAGTTGATCTGCCGGGCCATGAAAGGTACCCCGAGTTGATCCATAAGACCGGCCTGCGACCTGACATAGTTCTCCACTCTGCGCAAAAACGGCAGCTCATCCTGACTGAGTTGACCGTCCCGTTTGAGTCGCGTATTGAAGAGAATCACTTGTATAAGCTCGAGAAATACAGTGATTTAGCACCCGGTCTGAGGAGAAACGAGGCGTACACAGTACGGGTCTTTGCCGTCGAAGTGGGAGCGAGAGGCCTCATTTCCACTTCGCTCTACAATGTGGTTAAAGAACTAGGATTGCGCGGTAATGAACGGAAACGAACACTTAAAAAACTGGGCGAGGTAGCCGAAAGGGCCTCGAGCTGGCTTTGGACGCAACGCAACAACATAGGGGACGGGCCTCGGTGAGCTGGTCCGGGTGTCTAGCGGAAAAGGGTTTCTCACCCCTTGTAAGTCCATCGTGTCCAAATTGTCTGCCAGTGTTCCTCTGCCACCTGCTAACAAAAGTCCAACATGTGTCCGGTAAACCAATCGTAAGCTTGTCGCTCGGTCGTCCAGGCACGCTGACTGCTTTAATTAGGCTGCCGCGGCGACTTCTTATCTCACAGTACCGTCTGCAAACCACCAAGTCGTCTTGTCCCTATCCGAAAGAAAAACACCATCCGGTAATCTCCTGCAGCAGGGAACCAGCCCTGAGCTTCATGAACTCAGGTGGGCCCACCTCCGAAAGCGTCTAGGAATCGTGGGCCGAAACGCTCGTTGACGAGGATAATTTCTACTGATGACTGGTAGATCCCTGCTGTACTTGCTCCCTGTGAGTTTATTCCTATCGAGTTTTCTTTAAGTGCCATGGTAGTATTTCGAACAATTATTATTTCTTTTTACTAATTTCTTTAAACAAGCCATCTGTTTATTTATTAATAATTAACTATTAACACAATTTATTTTTGTAGCAGTTTTCTAATATTATTCCTCAACAATTCTTGGTCACTTTAATATTTGTGTGTTGCGCACTAGTTGAATTAGTATGGTCTGGTTTAATGTGTAACACTTGTGAAATTTCAAAATTACATTACCACCCCTTGGGCCTAAAACAATCATAATTTACACTTAATTTTCAAAAGAGCGGCTAACGGCTCTTCATGTCAGTACAGTAGTTGTACAATACATCTTAAACTGGTGAATGGATGAAGTCAGCCTGTAACCTACCTTGTTTTCAAGCAACTGTGTCTGCAAGTTGGCCTGTTTCTCTAAGGACAGAGGCATGGACAACTGCTGGCCTATATTTTTTTCCAGCCAGTTTTTAACATCATCAATTTGTTTTTTGCATGTTTCCACTCCAAGACTTCCCTTCTGGTTCCTCTCTTTGGCATCCTGAAAAGAGGAACACAATATTCAGAGAAAATCTAGAGAAAAATTCTGAGCAATTTGCAAAATCTATATAGTGTGCTTTCTTAAAGATCTGCCGTTAATATCTAAACATTTCTGTGTTTCATTGTTGTGTTTTAGGTAAAATGCTGACACCATAATAAATTCACTGAAACTGTCCGGAACTAACGCAACTTGTGTCATTGCTGGTATCTGCTGGAAGGGTTTTCTGAGCCAAGGGATAAGGCTTGCTTGAAAAAAGCAGTAGCTACTACTATCTCAACAGTTTTGTCCCAATGTGGGACGCAATTTTTCATTATTCTAAAACCCTACTCTGGCTGCTGCTAGAGGCCCTAAAATAACCAAACCTATGGATTGAACAGGGTTTCTGGGACCTGTCTCTAAGTGATCCTCATCCGTATGGTGGCACTTTGTGTCACCAGGTGTTTATCGCTTGGTGTGATGGTCTGGTGAGGTTGAATGTCAATCAATCAGCAGTAGCTACTCTGGGACAGGCTATATTCGTTTAATATCAACCCTGACAGACAAAAGACATTGCCTTTTAATGGGAATAAACAAAGCTACCATGAAATATGAGGCAGTTTCATATAAATGTTCTTATGATTTCTATAACTTGTATCTTAGGTGTCAGCTGAAAATTGAGATGCATTAAAAAAATGTTATTACAAATTTATGACAACAGCATAAATGTAGGGACCTGTTTATGCATGTCCAAATATGAGTGCAGATGCATAATAATGAAGGGATTCACATTTTGATTATAAATGTCTTTTGACAAATAAATTATTTCACAGACAGTTTTGTTAGTTAGTTAGTTAGTTAGTTAGTTGGGTTATCGTCATTGCACTCCGGACATGTCCATAGGTGCTCAGATCCTCCCCTCAGTATGAACCCCAACGTCCGATGGCTAATAGTACCAGTTCTATGTTGATTAACAAGTCTTCTGACGTGTCCGGTGTGCGTCTCGTTTTTTGCTGTGCCGATCTTAATTCCCAAGTCTGCCATTCTGGCGAGTGATGTGGATTCACTGCCACCAAAGTCCTCTATCCTTCCCATTTCTCTGAGGGCATTGATAATATCAGCATGATCCATAGGCCGACCGTCGGTAGTGATAGCGGATCCAGCCAACCTGTCAGCTCTTTCATTTCCATCGACGCCTGCGTTTCCCGAACAAAATAAAGGTGACTCCACGCACAGTGGACTTCTGTAATGATTCAAGCCATTGTCTTCGCACTGAACCTGCCTGAACCCTCCGGATCATACTCATTGAATCACTGAGTATACATATGCAGGTGTATTTTTGTGTTTCAAGCCAGGCAAACGCTTGCGTCACTGCCATCACCTCCATCGTCATGCTGCTGGTTGTCATGGAGAAGGCACCGTTGGCTTCTTTTGAACATTCTGCCCGCTGAGCGTGCTGTAATGCGCTTCTTCTTTGGCGTATAACGGATCCGTCTGTGTAGATTAGTGCATCTGCTTCGTCTGAATTTTCACCGATGAGAGCGTTGACCTCTGCATTAACAGCAACAGGATTCTCTTCTCTACATCGCCTGTTGAGTGTGACAATACAGGAAAATGTACAAATAAACGCCTGAGGCACAGGTATCCATTCTGCACCAGGTATGATGTCGGTTAGGCAGCATATTTGCCTAATAACATCTTCTGCCCGACCTAGCCACGATTTTCCCCTCTTCAGTCTGTCGCCCTTTCACTAAAAAGCGCTTGATGCAGTGGTGTTTTCTTATCAGCACATATTTTGAGGTATGCCCGAGCCCTCCACATTCTGATCCTTTGGTTCATTGTTGGAAAGTCAAGTAGATACCTCATTGCTTCACAGGATGTGTCTCTTGTACATCAAAATAATGCGCATGGCTTCATTTTGCACCTTTTCGAGTCTTTCAATCTGGGTAGCACTGACAAATGGCCAGAGCGTATTCAATGGGTGAAAGGGACCAGACCGTAGAATAGAAGTATTAGTAGTCTTTGCTCGATATTGGAAGCAGCCATAATCCTCATTGCAAATAGACCTTTGGGTGCTTTTGTTATCACATGGTCAACGTGTTCCCAAGCTGCGATCGAACCTCACCCCGAGAAAACGTCAAACGTTGGTTCTGATCAATATATTATCACGCATTTTCACTTCTGGTAAGTCCGACTTGACAATGTGATTGTTCAAAGAGAACCATGACACTGATGCCTTCGAAGGATTGACATAGGCATTGGAACCATCACACCAGGCGGCAATTCGATCGAGTTCTGCGCATTGTGCTGGCGATCTCCTGTCTATCACGCCCTCGTCGATAAATCAAAATGTCATCAGCAAATGACAAAGTCCTTCCCTTTCCATTCAACTTCTGCTCAGTGATCATCACCGTATAAACGTTGAATAAGACTGGTGATAGCGGTGATCCCTGTGGCAAGCCTGGACATATCGTTTGCGGTTCTGAGGACCAGCTACCACATCTTAGTACAATCTTTCTCTGAACAGGATCGCAGCAATCCAGCGGATCAGAATAGGATTGACTTCTAGTTTAAGCAGTAATTGCATTAAATATTCGTATGGTACTTTATTGTAGGCATCTTCTAAGTCCAACACTGCCGCACATGTCTCTTCTTTAATCTGAAATCCCTCGTACACATCGTAGCGAAACAGCAGCATTGAACCATGTCTCTTTCTTCAACCTGTACCCTCCAAGTGTTGATGGGAACTTATCATGTAGTTCCAAGTAGGTGGTCAATCTTTGTGCGACAATTTTTTCCAAAAGTTTGCCAACAGTATTCTGCATCGAGATGATTCTGTAGCCGCAGATCTTTGAGTGGTCTTTATTAGGCTTTGGTAGTGGGAACAAATAACTATGGAGCCATTCCTCTTGTATCTGGCCACTCTGGATGCTGATATTGAATTCCTTTGCCACGCTTTTCAAATCAGCATTCGACATCATCAGCATGTCATTGTATCGGATGCCGTCAGGGCCTGGAGCAGTGCTGCGCGATTTCTTGAGGCAAGTTCTTAAGGTGTCTGCAGTGATTGTGAAATCAGTGCCTAGCTCAGTGTTAGTTTTGTGTCACACATGATGAGTCCACACCAGAAGAAACTGTTTGAATCAATCTTTCCATGTAATTTCTTTTTTTCTTCTTTAAAAAATATTTTGAACTTAAGCACTCATCTTGTCTGCTGCGAGTATCACACATATTTGCTTATTATCAGTTTATATAACTTCAAAACATCTCTACATCCTGCAGAAACTCACAGAGGATTACTGAAGACAATTGTAACATTCTGCAAAAAATCAGAGAGGATTACTGAAGAAAATCTCAACATCCTGAGTTAACAGCTGACATCACAGCATGCAGGACATTCTTATAAGTACTCCATCATTATTCTCAGCAACTAGCCAAGTGTTCCAGTTCTGACAGTGTCAGTAGCAGTTTGATTTATGTGTCCGTTTTGCCTTTCCTCTGAGTGTAGATGTCGATTAGATGATCCCTGGTTATTCCTAGCTGTCTATTCTCTCCAGTCCCTAGTCACCTGTTCATGCCATTCCAATGTTCACTTGCTCCCAAAGATCCCTGACCACATCAATTCACCACCCAGTGGTGCAGAACCAACCATCTGCCAGGACCTCTGAAGCGATGCTTGCCACTCTGCACGGAGCATGCCTACCTCAACCTTTCTCACTAAGCAAGCTTTGTGAGTCAGTTACAGTCACAAAATGTAGGCAAAGCTGGTTCTAAATCAGTGGAAAGCCTCTGTGACTACATTGTGAACAGCATTTTCTGCTCCCTGCCCAATGCTGCCATAATCATCGGGGCATTGATCCCCTTTTAAAACTGTTGCTGCAACTGCCTCCAAACAGTCCCTGAACAACAGGCTCCTATCTCAACATCCTGCAGCAACCTAGCAGCAGAGTCATCATCATGTAGCAGGGGCTTTGCAGAAAGTCACTCTCATCACGGTCTGCCTGAAAGAAACTTAGTCTCTCGCCAGCTCTCCCGCCTCATGTACTTTCATACTCAAGGAGTCATATCTTGTGTCCATCTTCGTGCTGGTCGGCCCCTGCCCCTTTTTCTTGGTACCATGCCTTCTGCTATTATTTTTTCCAATACAGAAGACATTTAGCATTAAAAATAACCACCTCAGATTGCTCATCTGTGACATTTCATAGGATTGAAGAAAATGATATGATGTTTGAGACGTGGAGCGTTTCTCCAATTCCTGTCCAAGTGCCTTGTCTGCTTACACTGTGCAAGCTTTATATGTGGTACAGATCTTGCATCAATTTCTCCAATTCCTGTTCAAGTGCCTTGTCTGCTTACACTGTGCATGCTTTATATGTGGTACAGATCTTGCATCAATGTCTCCAATTCCTGTCCAAGTGCCTTGTCTGCTTACACTGTGCATGCTTTAAATGTGGTACAGATGTTGCATCAATTTCTCAAAGCATGTCAACAGTTTACAAACATAACTGTTACCTCTAGTCAGGCATGTCGTATTTATAAAAACAGATTTTAAGGAACATATTTTCATGTATTTATACCTTAGGGAATGTAGTAAAGTTTCATGTGTGTGTGTGTGTGTATATGTGCATGTGACCCACCATGGCTAGCTGCTGGACACCTAACTGCAGGCCCAAAGGTCATGGGTTCAAATCTGCATCACCAAGTCACATTTTTTTTTAAACATTTGACCTTGACTGGCGTGTCAATAACCACATGACCCACAAAGTGCTGACTGCTCTATAAAATACAGCTCTAGCCTATATATATCAACAACACTAGGGTGTGGGAAAGGGTCTTCACTTTACTGCATATGTGCATGCATGTGTGAAAACATCTGACCAGACAAAATGCAAGGAATAAAAAATATGTTTAAACTAATAAATTTACATCTAATATTGTGAAACTAATACTGAGTGTCACTAAAAGGAACTCTCGCATACTAAGAGTTAATATTACTTCATGTAAAGTAATTTGTAAGAATGTGA